AGCATATTGAGAATTTTAAGGCAGCCTTTGGAATAATGCCTTTGTCATTACTGTAAGCTCTCTCACTCTCCTAGACATAAGTGTCTTCTCTGATGGACATAGGTCTTTGGGCCAGGGCCAGGTCACGATAAAATAGAAAGCTTTAATCCCCATAACCCTTTCAGAGGTAAAGTTATAGGTGTTATTTCATTTTAGAGAGGAAACATAAATGTTTGTTCATGGTCTTATAAGAATCAATCAAATAACTGACAAATAATTAAATATTCATACACAGGCCACCATGCTAGATATGGAGACTATATAAAGATATAGCACATCATTTCTCCTGTTGGAATATTTATAGTCTACCTGAAGATGTAAATACACGTACCCATTAGTTAATGACATATGTTCATGTGTTAATAGCAAATGAACGATAAATATAAAAAAAGTAAAAAGAAAAGGAAAAATATCAGAACTCTAAAATTGTGTCTCAAGGGAAGAGTTCTTGGCAGTCAGGGAAGGCTTCCTGGAGGGAGCATGATATAGAAAAGCAATTATTTTTCAGTCAAGCAAATTTGGTTTTAATTCTGAGTTCTTTTACTTCTCAGATATAAGCAGGGACTTAACTTCTCAAAGCCTTAAGGTTTTCATCTGAGAATTACAGCTGATGCCAGTAGTTTCTTTCATAGATTTGTGAGGTTAGAATGAGATAATTTAATAAAAAAGCAGGTTCTTCTAGTCTCCATTGCTGACCCTTCATATGGATGAATAAATAATCACTGAGAATCTTTTGTGTCTGACACTGAGCCTCAGAGTAGGGAGCAGTAGGGAGTTGGGAGGCATGCTAAGTGTCAGAGCAAGGAAGGAGAAGGACATATGGGCCTCTAAGATGCACAATAACAAATGTCGGCAAAAGTACATAACAGTATGATGAAAGCAAGATAGGAAATTGTCTGGGAAACCTGGAGTAATAAATACAGCCAAGGAAGTTTCCTTCAAGGCTGGCAACACAGTAATGTGCTGGTTACAGGGAGGAAATGAGAAATATAGGAGGTATTACCCCTGAATAGTTACCTTTTCAGTAGAAATACAACACCTACACCCATATTTACTTACATCATGAAATAATGAAGACACGTGATGGCAGTTATTAGCTTATGTTGTGCAGTTTTCGCCTATCAGTCACATAAAAATTTGGAGGAGGGAAAGCTCTCTGTGGTCTGTAGCATCAGGAAAGATTTGAATTTGGGTCTTGAAGAATGGGCAACACATGGATCCAAAAGGAGGTTTATTCTAGGCAGATGTTGCACCATGCAGTCCCTGTTACTTAAATGTGTAACAGAGAAAAAAAAAATCACTGGATTTGGTTGAGGGGTGCTACCTGAGAGGTTATGGAGAGGTAAGGAGAGAGGTCAGTCTCTCAGATGGGAACTGCAGGTTTCAGGTTGTGATGCAAAATCAGTGGGCTCCTCTCCAAGAAAGAATGAAGGACCAAGAGGCCTAGTTATCTGATCTCTCATCCTAAGGGCACATTTTCAAAGGGGCAGCAAAGAGAAGAGAAAACCACTGACAGCAATGGTTTTCAGAAACCTGTGGCTCCCTCCCACTCCCCTGCACCCATGAAAAGGTGTGGGGGAGGGGGAGGGAGCCACAGGTTTCTGTAGCAAGATCACACTCAAGAATTAAAACCCCTTTTCACCTTATCTGAATGCCCCACATCCCCTGAAATCACCTAGCTTGCTTGGGTGGGTAGGAAGGAGTAAAGAGCATGGGTTCACTTCTGAAAGATCTGGATTGAAGCCCTTGCCTGTTTTTATCTCACATCCCTGTCTGAACCAGTTTCCTCAACGGGGCCACAGGCTCAATAATAATAGTAGCCTCCTCAAGAGATGTTGAGATTAAGTAAAAATGTATGTAAGGACTCCGGCACATAAGGTTCCGTATAACTAATAATAATCACTATTATATTTTATAATGGCCTTTGGGTCCTGGGTCTTGCCAAGTTTGGGGTAGGGGAGGGGGGTGTGAAGAAGGAAGGTCGGCTTCTTTATTGTGTTGGTGTCTCTCAAAACAGCCGGCAGGCCCTGGGCCAAAACCACAGCGGGGTGCTCCCTCCGCCGGCGCCTTCTTTCCCCTGCTCCACCCACGCTTCCCGGAGCAACAAGTTCCTTTCCGCAAGACCCGCCCGCGCGCCACCGGCGGACCCGGAGACTCTTCCCAGACCTCTGTCAAACTCGTCGCCAGACCCACTTGGGGTAGAAATCCCGGTGCTGCCTACGCCCTTAGGAGGAGGGAGAGCCCCCCACACCTGAAGGAGCTCCGGCGGTGGCTGGGAGAGAGGCGGGAGGCTTGGGAAGTCAAGACAGAAGAGACTATTAAGAGCTTCGTTCTGCGCGGTCCTTCAAGGCAAAACTAATAACCAAAAGCACCCACCGCTCATCTCACGCCCCGCTCTTCCTGGGATCAGGAGCGAGATGGAGCCTGAAATCTCACTGACCTCCACCCAGCCCTCTGATAGCCACATCTCTGTCCTCTGGGTTCCCCTAGCCCCAGCTTCTCTCTGCACCCACACTCCACCCCAGCCTGCGCCAGGTCCCCTAAGGACACTGGAGATCCCTGATACATCTTTTGCAGGAGACACACGCAGGTCAGCCACAGCCCCCATCCAGCGCGCTTCTCTCCTCTGTCCTCCCAGGATGGGTACCCTCGAGTCTCCAAAGGAGACCCAAGGTGTCCAAAGCTGAGAGGCTCACCTATATGCCCAAACTGTCAAACTCTGACAACTTCTTGGAATGGGGATCCCCACGCTCTAGTGGGAAAGCCAGGCTGGCCGCCCACGCATCAGGAGAGGCCATCTCGACTTCTCAGTAGGGAATCCCCCTCAAAATCCACCTCTCCAGCTCCTGTAACCAGGAGTTGAGAACTAGGGAGCCAACCAGAAGTGCGCTCCAGGGTTGGGCGGTCGTGGGTGGGGGTGAGGGCGCAGAAGTCCCCCCCCCCCGATTTTGGAGACCAGTTTATGTTTCCAAATCTCCGAGAGTCAGGAAGCCGTTGTTCTCGGAGAGGAGCAGGGACCGAAGTCACTGGGAGGGAAGTCCTCCGGCGCGGGGTGGGAGAAGCACCTAGGTGAATTGCAATATCCAAGCTTCCAGACCCGTCTGTAGGAAACTATTCTTTCTCCAGGGAATGGGGGTGGGGGAGACGTCCCTGGCCAAGCAGCCAACGCCAGGATCAGCTATTCAGGGCTTCATCCCTCCATCCCCAGACAACCTCGAGAACTTGGTACCTCGGACAGCATCCCGGGAGCATGGTATCCTTTGAAAGGTGTTATCCTATTTTCGCCATCAAGTCATAGAGCAATAAATTATTTTGATGACCTTACTAGTACAGATGAAGGACATTTTAATTACATAACCGGTGAAAGATCACCGGAGGCAATATCGTGTTAAAGAGCCCATGGCAGAATATCTGCATCGCATGAGAAAGAGAGAAAACTTGCAAATCTGCAATGAGATTGCGCAGGGCTGCCCCCCGTTTTGAAACAACATGCGAAATGCATGGGAGAGCTTACCTTTCGGACTCCAAAGCCGTGTTCTGCTGCAACTTGGCGAGCTTCGTCCTCTCCCCCTTTATGCAACTCCACAAGAAAATGATTCGTGAAGACCGGTCGCTCAGCAGATGCAAAAACCATGACACAGAAGAGGAACCCGGCGGCCGCCTTCCACTGGGAGACACAACCACCCTTCATCCTTCTTTGGGAGTGAAAAGTGGTGCTAGGAGGCGCGCAGGCTGGCGGAGCAGGGGACTCGGAGGGAGGGTAAAAAAAAAAATATATATAGTTTTAAAAAAAATCTTTGTAGAGAAAGAGACTGAATAGGGTCTTGGAAAGCAGCGAATCAGTGTGTGTTCTCCAGCATCTGGCTAGAGGGGAAGCCGTGCAGTCAGGCGGCCCGGCGCGCGGGCAGGGGTGCGAATGTGGGGAGCTGTGTGTACCGGAGAGAAAGAGCGAGTGTAGGTCTGTGCTTGATGCTAAATCTGCATTTTCAGCTCCTCCTCAGCTCCAATTCCCCAGGGGCTGGAGGAGAGCACCAGCTCGGGTGACGTGAGTCCGCCAGCGGCCAATGAGGGCGGGGGAAGCGGCGGGCCCCGCCCTGGGCCGCCCCGGGCCCGCCCCCGCCCTCCCCAGGCCCGGCCCGGCCCGGCCCGGCCGCCTCCGCCTTCTGGGGGCGCAGCGCCGCGAGCCCGCGCCCCCGCCCCTTTCAGCACTGGAGAGCTCCCCCATCTCAGCCTGGCCCGCCGCGCGCCCAGGAAAATCCCCCCAGCTGTAATCAGGCCAGCGGCGGCGGAGTGATGTCATTGTTTGTGGGAATCTGTAGGCTCTGGGAAGGGAATTACGGTGTGTGCCGCTCTCGGAGGCCCCGAAGGGAGCTGGGGCGCCGGCCTCTGTACCTCTTCCTGCTTGTTTCGCCGCTGCAAAACACCTCTCCTCCTCTCTCTCTCTCTCTTTCTTCTTTTCTCTCTCTCTCTCTCTCTCTTCTCTCTCTCTCTCAACACACACACATACACACACACACACACACACTCTCTCTCTCTCTCTCTCTCTCCTCAAGGCATACTTGCCTCCCCTGTATCCCAATAACAAAGCAAATATTAACCTCCTTACCCACCACTTTGGGAAAATCGCCCCGGGGAGGTTTGCTCTCCTTGGGCACCATGGATGGGTTGGTGGAACTAGCACTTTCTAGGGGTGATTCCATGGGGTGCTAGAGTGCACGAGCGGAGCCCTCTGTTTTTTTGTAGGTGCTCCGGCAGGGTCCGGAGCGCAAGCGGCTTGGGAAGCTTAGCCGGAGACCGGGCTCGCCCACCCGCGATGGTGACTGGAGGAGGCTCCTCTAGGAGTCCTGGCTGCGACCTCCAAGATCTGCCTTCAGGAGAGACGCGGCCGGGGTGGACACCGCCAGGACGGTGCACTCACAGCTTGGGACGTTTCACTGGCGCACAGGAGCGAAGGCGAGTTTGGGGAGGCACATAGCCACGATCCCAGGCGCCGGGCCAAGTCGCCCGCTGAGCGTCTTCTGCTGGAGGCGACGTGGGGCGGGGGCAACTAAGTTATCCAGTTAAGAAATGTGCACTCGCTCTGGACTCTGCTAACTGCTGACGACGGACTCCGCTTCTTGCCTCAGAGGAGGAAGCACGTACCTTCTGTATGTAACAAAATGAGGACGGCTGCTTTAAAGCAACTTAAATATTGTTGTGTTAAAGAATATTTACACTGATCTCATTGTATCATTTAGCTTCAGAGCTCAAAATCCTGCTTTACTTGGATAAGAGGTAAGAGATCTTTTCTTAGGGGCTTAAGTGCATGCAATCCAGAGAGAAAGGAAGAGAACATTTATACCATCGACACGTTACGCACACATTCTCATGTATACACAGATTCCTCTCTTTTTATTTTAGCATGAAGTCCAAATCTACGCAAGTCAGAATCTACGCAAGAAAAGCACTATTGGTAGAAATGAATACACTTTGAATGCCATGGGCCACCCTGTCTTCTGAGCAGGTCTGTTTGCTGACATAGTTGGCTCCCTCAGAGCCCTTTAAAAAACTGTCAAAAATGTGGGTATTGCTGAAGGTTTTTATTAAAACATTAGAAGTCTGTATGACATTATTTATGATTGTTATTTGAATTCCTCTAAGAAAATTAAGCTATCTGTTAGGACTTAGGGCCATGGTGGAGGCAAGGTTTCTGGAAAAGTATTAATAAAAGGAAACAGATCAGCTCTGGGCCCCTCTTCTCACTACGGCTCGGAGGCTCATCTCTGCCCGTGTTCCCCCTTTCTATCACTCTATCTTGTTTAACAGCTTACCCCCTCATAATCCCTCTGTTTGACTATAACACAAGGTTTTCTTATTCAGAGACCCTCAGCTCTTCCTTTCCCTCTTTTTCTTACAGTTCGTCCATATTTTGAATCAAAGTGCCAGGTTGGTATGAAACAATACCACATGATTCTTTCTGCTTTGTGTTGTCATTTGAAAAAAATGGCACCAAGTGTGAAAACTACATTAGACAGATTCACAATTATGGAGAGCATTTCAAAAGCTTCAACAGAGATAAAAATTTAAGTCCTTAGAAAGTAGATCTGAAGAGCATCAACTAAATCAATTTAGAAGATGATGGGTGTTGGGAAATAGTGCTGCTAATGTAGCCAGATCTCTTTGAAGATGCACATAAAATTATCATCTTTCTAGAGATATTTATTAATTTATTTCTGAAACCACAGTTCCATACTTCATTTCTTTTCTCTTTCCTTCTTTCTTTCTTTCTTTCTTTCCCTGCCTTCCTTCCTTCCTTCCTTCCTTTCTTTCTTTTCTTTTTTTCTTTTTCTTCGTTTTTTTTTGAGATGGAGTCTTGGTCTGTCGCCCAGGCTGGAGTGAAGTGGCCTGATCTCGGCTCATTGCAACCTCTGCCTCCTGGGTTCAAGCGATTCTCCTGCCTCCGCTTCCCAAGGAGCTGGGACTATAGGCGTGTACCACGACACTCAGCTAATTTTTTGTATTTTTAGTAGAGACTGGGTTTCACTGTGTTAGCCAGGATGGTCTCTATCTCCTGATCTTGTGATCCACCCCTCTTGGCCTCCCAAAGTCCTGGGATTACAGACATGAGCCACTGCACCCGGCCACTTCATTTCTTAAATAGTTTCCAAATATGAAATGCTGGTAAATGTTGAATCTCATATAGCTATATTTTAAATAACTTAAACTGTGTAACATTGGCCACAAATGATATAAAATCTGAATGACTAATTAAAATAAGTCATCTTTAGTGGTTTACATAAAATACAGCTCATTGTAATATTGTCAGGACAGAGTAGCAAATGGAAAGATAATTTTTTTTGGTTATTCAAATATTAAATTTTCAGTACACAAGCATGTAGTAAGCAAGTGGAAGAGGAAATGTATTTATCCCTTGGATATCTATTGATGATTGTTATTTGAAATGCTAATACACACCCATATGTGCACACAAATTGCTCTTTTAGACAACTATTTTTCAAACTCCTTTTGCCAGTAACAATAGTCAAGGTGAACAGTAGAGAGAATGGCAGCAGCACATTTTGAGGATGGACCTAGAAGCCAGTTGCCAGGAGCCCTATTGCAGGCTCTGCTAGTACTAGGTATGTATACCAACTGGCTGTGGGCCAACCTATTGCACCTCTCAAAGCCTCTGTCTTTCTATCTGTAAAAAGAGACTGTTGGATTAGATACCTCACAGCCAAAAGTCTATAATTTCAAAGAGTTGTGAAAACATATGCTGTAATGTAGGAAGCATCATCAATAATTTGAGAAACGCTAAGGACCACAATACTATTTAATAACATATTGTGGCCAACAGGCATACTTATTTTTGTGTAACCTCCCCCAAATGGTCTCATATTTATCAGTTTTGTGTACTTGAAAAAGTAATAACAGACACAAACAGATTGACAGTATAAGATATAAAAATCATCAATACCTGGAGCTTCTTTTCATTTCTTTACTTTTATATCTGTAACAATGACATCAGGTGTTTGGTTCTGGCTCAGATGTGCCACAGACCCCTATAGTCTCTTTGAAGATGTTGTCCTGCAAAACAAGACTAGAACATTCCCGTATTATGGCTTCATACTAGAAATCAAGAGATCTTGGGCGATTAAAAAAAAAAATTGAAACCACCTGAGGCATGATTGAGATACTCGCATTTAGATGTACTTCTAAAAGGAGAACTTTGGGTTCATAGAGCATCAGGCCAAGGAAAATCTACCACTGGGGATACAGAGCAAGACAGAAGCAGCCCTAGGAGAGTCCCCCAAACCTTTGAATACTCTTTGGGCTACTGGAGAAAGATCTAATTTTTCTGTTGATTTCTCTTCAATTGTGTGGGGTGTGTAACCTGGAGAGAAATAGGGTATATATCACTGAAAATCACAATTTAAAATACAACCTTGTTAATAATCAGGTTGGGCTTTGACATTCTTGCTGCATTCATTGCAAACATTTTAAATGCAGTAATGATACATTAATTGGGTAGGAACAATTCTCTACTGTCATATTGTACTGTTGTATTAGTTTGTTTTCATATTGCTGATAAAGACATACCTGAGACTGGGCAATTTACAAAAGAAAGAGGTTTATTGGACTTACAGTTCCACATGGCTAGGAAGGCTTCACAATCATGGCAGAAAGCAAGGAGCAGCAAGTCAGGTCTTACATGGATGGTGACAGGCAAAAAAAGAGAGCTTGTGCAGGAAAACCCCCCCTCATAATAAACATCAGATCTTGTGAGATGTATTCATTATCACTAGAACAGTATGGAGAAACTGCCCCCATGATTCAATTATCTCCCACTTGGTCCCTCCCACAACATGTGGGAATTATGGGAGTATAATTCAAGATGAGATTTGGGTGGGAACACAGAGCCAAACCATATCAACTGTCAACTCTTTCAATGGATTATTCCTAAAGACCCTGCCTTGTCTGTTCCCTCCATTCCAACCCATATGCAGACTTTCCGAAATATCGTTACCACTTTACAGATTTCTGCCCAATTTTGAACTCAGCATTGATCAAGTCTTTTTTTTTCCTCTGGACAATTCGTGTTTTCCAAGATCTCACCTCATTTTCCTCTAGTATTTACATATACTCTCACATTTGCTATAACTAAAAATTCAGGTACTTGGGAAATTTTAGTTTTTCAGTATAAACCCACTTCTAAATCACTGTGATTCAGTTGGTCCTACCTCCAATTCCTATAGCTTTTGCCAACTTGTATCTTTTCCTTAAATAACCTATCTCTGTTTTTCCTTCAGTTGAAAATTCTCAGCTGACTTTTATTATTTAAGCATCTTAAATTAATGTAGTGAAGAGAATTCATATGGTTTCAAGTGTTTATTATCATGAAAGCATTGAATCTACAGTGCTTTGAGATGTATTTCTTTTGTGATTTCATCAAAAAGTCATCAAATTTATTCAGACCAATCAACTCTTCATAAACAAAAGCTACTTCTTGCTTCCTTATTTTCCAGGACAGTGAATATTTGCTTCTTTTGCTAATTCAAGTTCTATTATTTTGATAGGATTTGAAGTAGCTAAACAATGAGGACCAAGGGCCCTTTTAATCTTCTTTTGAAAATTAGGAACACATTGCTATTCACTATCTTTAGATTCCTTTTCAGGTCTACGGGACTACAGAATAATGTTTGCTCACTTGGAAAATTAATTAGTTATTTCTCAGGGTTTATTGGAACATTGCTTATTGTCTGTAGAAAGTGATTACCTATTCATGAATTCTCTACCTTGTGTTATTTCTCTTTCCTTTTTCATGGTTTTTAAAAAAACATAGTAAATCGTTCTCAATTTACTTTTTAAATAATTATGGAAATTATCTGCAATAAGGAGTTTTTTTTTTTTGTATTTCTCTAACTACTTATAACTCAGAAATAACTCAAACAGAACAAAGTATATGGCTTGTTAGCAAATGTAAACAGGAATTCTAAAAGATAAAAATTTTATATGTAAAATAAAATTTAACACATTCAAAAATATACACTAATTTTATAAGGTAAACTCTGCCCATTATAACAAAACATAAGATTTTAGGAAAGTCCTTACTTTGATCTGAATGCTTTGGATAATTATACACTATTTAGTATCAGTTTGAATGACCTACCTCGAGTAGATAAATTGATGTATAGTGTTACTTAATATGCTGGAGGAAGGATTATAAATGTATGGCTGTGCTCTCAGACATTTTCCACTCTTCTGAAAATATTCTATCCTTTCAGAGATGTTTTGGCAAAACATGGCATTGTCTGTTTTTAGGGAATTTCACTATACGATATCTAGTTTATTGTCTTATGATACTGGAGTGAACCAAAAAGTACTTCCTTACAAACAGGTATTTCTAGAATTAGTCACTCAATTCTAGTTTGTAGATTTATTTTCTCTTTTAAAATCCTATAATCCAGATATTATAATTAACATAGGACCTAGTTAGATTATTTTGAATTTCTAATAATACATTCACTATGCACTAATTTCTTTTTAATTTTTCAAAACAGCTTTGTTAAGGTATAATTAACATATATTAAACTTAAGTTTGACTAGTTTTGCAATGTGACTAGTTTTGATATATGTATGCATCTGTGAAATAATCCCTGCAATCAAGATAATGAATATATCCATCTTCTCCAAAAGATTTCTCATGCCACTTTCCTATGCCTCCCTCCCACACTTCTCCCACCCCTTCATACCACCCATCCTCAGTCCACCACTGCTCTGCTTTATACCACCATAGATGAGGTTGCATATTTCTTGAATGTTATATAAAGGGAATAACATAATGTGTACTTGTTTTTTGTCGAGATTCTGTCACCCAGCACAGTTGTTTTGAAATTTATCCATGTTGTAATGTGTAATAGTATTTTATTCTTTTTTATTGTTGGTTAGTATTCATTACATGACTGATAGCACTAACCATTTGTCCACTAACCTGTTGATGGACATAAAACAGACACATAGACCAATGGAACAGAATACAGAACCTAGAAATAAATTCATGCATTTAAAGCCAAATCATTTTTGATAAAGGCGCCAAGAACACACTTTGGGGAAAGGATAGTTTCTTTAATAAATGATGCTGGTAAAACTGGATATCCGCATGCAGAAGAATGAAACTAGTCTCCAAGCTCTCAGCATCTAAAAAAAATGTATTAAAGACGTAAATGTAAGACCTGAAACTATGAAACTACTAGAAGAAAATATAGGTGGAATGCATCTTAAAATTGGGCTAGACAAGAATTTTTTGAATAAAAGCTCAAAAGCACAGGCAACAAAAGCAAACACAGACAAAAGAAATTACATTGAACTAAAAAGCTTCTGCACAGAAAAAGAAGCAATAAGTAGAGTGAAGAAACAACCTACAGAATGGGAGCAAATATTTTCAAACTATGTGTCTGATAAAGGGTTAGTATTCTGAATATATAAGGAACTCAACTCAGTAGCAAAAAATCAAATAAACTAATTTATAAATGGACAAAAGGACTGAACACACATTTCTCAAAAGAAGACATACACATGGCCAACAGAGTATGAAAAAATGCTCAACATCACTAACATCACACAAATGCAAATTAAAACCATGATAAAATATCACCTTATCCCAGCTAGAAGGGTAAATATCAAAAAGACAAAAAATAATTGCTGGTAAGGATGTAGAGAAATGAGTACTCATATACATTGTTGGTAAGAACGTAAATTAGTACAACTATTATGGAAAACAGTATGGACTTTCCCCAAAATATTAAAAATAGAACGTCCCTGTGATCCAGCAATCCAATTACTGGGTATATATATTCAAAGAAAATGAAATCAGTATGTTGAAGAGACGTCTGAACATCCATGTTTGTTGCAGTGCTATTCACTGTACATTAGTTTATGCCGGAAGTTACATACCAGTGACACCCAGTCCACAGGTATGTTTTATATGAAATGTAGTGTCAAAAAAATAGTCACAATCCTTTAAAAATTTATTATTTCCCCTAAAAATTCAGAGATGTGACTTCTTTTGTAATAACCAAAGATTTGGCAACCTGGTCACAATTAGCTAGAGTTGGTAGTTATTGTTCTCCCCACCCCATGTAACAGGACCTGATGTGCTCAGTTCACAAGAATCCTCATCCTACCTCCTGACTCACGTGTTTTACTTTTCTCACCCTAAAGTCATCTGAGTTTATGACTTCTAGTTTAAACAAACTACAGTGTCTCAGTTCATTTTGCTATAGAGACTTTTTGTCACCCTAAAGTCATCTGAGTTTATGACTTCTGGTTTAAACAATCTACGGGTCTCATTTCATTTTGCTATACAGATTTTTTTCAATTATTGTTTGTATTTTACTTTAACTTTTATTTCAGGTTTGGGGTACACGTGAAAGTTTGTTGTATAGGTAAACTAGTGTCATGGGGGTTTGCTGTACAGAATATTTCATCATCAAGGTATTAAAACTAGTACCCAATAGTTATTTTTTCTTCTAAAAATAATGTATTTAATAGAACACATTCAAAAAGATGAAAATAGGAGTATATTCGCTAAATAATTATTAGCATAGATGTAAAAAAATGAACTCAGACTTTCAGAATGCAGACTTTCAAGGAAATGGAAGCAGTCTTGGCCAAAGCTACTTTTTGCCTACTTCTGAGGACAAGGAATAGACAAATTAGCATTACCTCCCTTCTCTGGTAGTGAAAACCTTTGCAAAAGTCCAATATCATTAGTTTTTATGTTCTGTATTTTGCTATAAGCTAGTCCTTAGAGGAACCAGCATTATCAACGCAAGAGATGTTAAAGTAGAGTAGGAATTTATCTATAAATGCCCAAGAGAGGTTAGAGTGGCATTGTGGGAAGATCGTGAGGCTGGAAACAAAGATTCTTCTGTTCGACATCAGCTTTATGTCATTTTAGTCAAGTGACCTGAGGGAAGTCATTTTATCCTCTTGGTCTCAACGTAAATTGGGATGGGAATTATTTGCTTAGACTGTGTCTGAGATCAAATTAAGGGCTGACATTCAATGACAATAGTTTAGATCAGGGACCCACTTCTCTTGTGCATGGCCTATCTTTTAAGGAATACTGGCTGCGTGGGCTATACAACAGCACATGAAGCATGGAAGTGCATTTATACAAAGTATAGCAGTCAAATAGTGCCCCTGCAGTGCTGTGGAAAAAATCTTCCCAACTGTAATAGCTTACAACAAGTATTTTATTCTTACATTATAGTTTTCTGTGGTTTGGTTGGTCTAGAATGGAATTGACTGAGTAGTTTTACTTCATGCTACAGGTTGGTTCAGCTGCGTTCCAGGCTGTGTTTGGTTTTTGTCTGTTCCACATGTATTTTTTTCTGTAGCCCAGGCTGAAGTGGTAGCAGCTACCTACCCAAGACGTGCTCTTCTTATGGCTTAATACTGGAGCTTAAAATCCCAGCCAAGCCATGCAAAAACACTTAATAAGGCTTTTATTGCATCATGTTCACTAATGTATTGGCCAAAGCAAATCATATGGCCAAGCATAGCACTGTGTATAGGGAGGGTGAAGGAAGAGAATATTTACTGAGCAGTAATCTAAACTACATACCAAGCAAGATCCAGCATCTACAGACATTTTTCATTAAAAAGTATATTTTCACAAGTTAGTGTAATTGAAATAACTGGCTCAGGAACCATTTTAAAGCGTTGAGTTTTAAGATTAATATCTATAATAAATGTGGGGACTGTTGTTCCAAAATGTTGAGAAAAAAAACTTCTAATAATCTCATTTGTGCATGGAAAAATGAACCACTCTCCACCTAGAGTTCTGGAGGATTAGAGTGGGTGTGCTTTTGGATATTTTCTTAAGAATGGCTAAGTAAGCATTGCTGGAGGCTGAATCTGACACAAATGGCAATGTTCAATGTGATGACAACAGAAGTAAGACTTATCTTTTTCAAAATTGGATCAGTTCAGACTCAACCGTAATACAAATGTATGAAGCCCAGAGCTGAGTATAGGTAACAGAATTCAGTTATGCTATCCTTAGATTTTTGAACACATTCCAGATTGTAGTTTCCCTCTTGCATTAATCAGAATTCTTTCTTTTGGTTATAGGTGATAGAACTACAACTCCAACTGGTTTTAGCAATGAAGAAGATTTCCAGTTTCACATCCTTCAAGGGTCCAGAGGTGGCTGCAGATTCAGGTATGGCTGGATGCAGAGCTTTCACCATCTTCACTTGTAGGGCCCATTACCGTCTTTGATGGCTTAACCTCAAAGGAAACTTTCTTTTCCCCTGTAATGTTTATAACATTTTGGAATAGCAGTTCATTAATTTGGCTTGTAGCATGTGACCAGTTTTTCCCCAATTGGGTTCAAGTATTGAAATCAGCTACCTGGCCAGGCCTGTGTGTTGTGCCTTCTCCTAGAGCTGACATGGGACGTTAGACTAAGCTAAACCACGTGGACTAAGAAAGGAAAAATTTTTATTAGAGGAAAATATGGGAGCTATTTTCCAGAGAAAGGGGCGAGGATGTTGGACAGATTAAAAAAAAAACAGATGTCTATTGCAATATCTGTTCATCAAAATGAACAATGCATTAGAGTGAGGGACAATTTATGAATCAGGAGTATATTGAAAGGTGTTAACTAAAAAGCTAAAATGTCGTAAACGGTATGGTGTTATACTAACGTATCCTCTAAATGCCAGGTGGAGAGAGTGACATTTGATGCATTGGTCATTTATTTGTAGATGTTAAGAAAGACCTTTCGTCCATTTGGGCCCAACAGCAATGTTAACTATTAGCCAACAGCATAAACATGTCACTAATTTGTATCTGGTGACTTGTTGATGATGGGTTGACTCAGCTTATCAGAATATGGGGGTGACATACCAAATCATGGGTTTAGCCTTCATGAGGGAAGTCAGTTAGTCATTTTACCATTTAGTTGTATACAAATGCCAGGATTAAAATGGTGATTAAAAGTAAATGTTTAAAAATATATATGTCCATGCCAGAATGTGTCTTCATATCTTTTTTCTGCTGGCAGGGAAAGGAGGGCTCTTGTTGTTAGTTCCACATGAGATGGCAAAATCATCTCAACTTTCATCATTGCCTACAGTACTTTATGTATAATTACATTGTTTCTTCAAGGTGCCCTTATTATTTCTCCTCTCATTTTTCCCAGGAGACATGCACCAGGAGGAGCTGGCAAGTTTCCTTGGCAAGAACAGATGAATAAATAAGAAGCATGAGCTTGCGACTTTTAGCTGAGGTGATTCGTCAAAAACCACAGCACTGTGGCTGTTTTCAGATTTTAAGGGTTATGTTCAACCTCAATCAAGGGGAGTTTTGAAAGCTATTATAAATCATCGAATAAACTGAGGAAAAAATTTTGGTAGAACATGATGTTACTTGTTCACGTATGGCTGAATATATTCACTTGAAGGTTTTTCCAAGCTATGCTAGTGTTAGACAATGATGATTACCTACTCATGTTTGTCTAATGTTTTGAGTGGTGAGTGGCATTGAGTGAGGAATCTCATGATGAATAATTGGCTTTAATCTTCAAGAGAGGACAAAGTATCTGAGCAAGAGACCCCTGAAGATCAGTCACTTGTTAGAAGTACCAAGAGGTCAATATGGATAAATTGGGTTCTACAACATGATCTGGGTTTATAATGCCTCTTCAATTTTTCAACATTATTTTGTAGATCCAACAATGCATACTACATGTGTCTGGTTATTTCTGTTTTTCCTTCAGATCTCCTCTCCGTGGTTCTCCACTGTGTGCTGTGCCTGGAGATTGACTTTTGTGGACCACATCAATGAGATTCATTGCTTTATGGTCTCCCACTGGATTCAGCCAACAAGAGGTGCTGTTTAAAAACTTGGAGAGTGGGGTGGGAGAGTCATCTCGTGGTTTTCATTTTCCAGGCTCCCTTCCTGCTGGCTCATTACATATTAACTTCATTCCTGTCCCAAATGCTGTAGCTCCCATCAGGAAGCCCTCTCCAGATTCCACTAACCTCACCATTCCCCTGTCTCTTTAGGTCTAACAGGATAATGACTCAAGTCTGTTGCTAGTCCCGTGGGCTTCACTATGCTTCATTTGCTTTATTCTTCCATACATTTGTAAGTAGTCCCTCAATAAACTCTCCTCAATTACTCCATCTGTGTAAACCAGCTCTTTCATGCTGACATCCTGACCGACATATCACCTATGTAAAATATGACACATACTACACATGGGATATATTTACATTCAAATTATGACATATTTAAATATAGCATTGGTGAGGAATATAACGAAAACAAATAGCCTTCTGAGAGGCTGGCTGGGTGAACACAGTAGCCAACATTAACACAGCAAAAGAATACAACTTAGGGGAACAAAAATGTGACATACATTGGGGCAAAAGAAATAATACAAAGGAAAATCATATGAAAAGGCAAGGAAAAAATTGCAAAATCAATGAGCAATTTTGGGAAAAGTCCTCAGGGCCAAACAACCAGAATTCAGACTGTGAACAACCAGGAAATCCTAACATCTAAAGTCTAGGAAATTACAAAAAAGGAAAAGGTGGAAGAGGAGGAGGAGGAGAAGGAGGAGGAGGAAGAGGAGAAGGACTTACTGAAGGAAAAAAATATAAAGGCTTAGGAAGGCAGGATAAAGGTTACAGGACCCTTAACCATGACAGCACTCAGAACCACCATCTGGTACAGTAGTATGCTGGATCTGTCCATGGTTCTGGCCAATTCACAGAGATGAACGTTACTGCCTCTGCAGATCAGGTGGGCTGAAAGAATTCTTAGTGCCTAACTGATGTGTTTTCAGACTTCCCAGGAAATTACTTTGTAGTAAAGACGTCTTTCAGAAGAGCAAATTGTACCTAGCTAAAAGAAGAAGGGGAGGTGAATCTCATTTGTCTCCCAGCTATTACGTGTTTGTACATGATTGATACTAACATTACTACCACCGGCAATTGATCTGAGAATATTGCTATGCGAAAAACAATTTACCATGAAGACAGGCACAAATGTGATGACTCTGAGAAGCAATTTCAAAATAAGAGGCCAGGGTGAAAATAAATCTGAAGTTCACAAGATGGAAATACTACAAATGTCTGTGTGTAAAATTTGGGCTAAGTTTCTTCTAATTCTTTTATTACTTTATCCTGGGCAAAAAGATGATATTTTATGTAATGATTTGTTCCAAGTATGAGAAAAAATTATTAAAATGAATAGGATGGGAATAAATTAGCTTATACAACAAAGAAAATATATACATATATATATATTTTTTTGCATGTGGAAGAAACCACAACTTAAAAATAAGGTTTTACTTTGTTGTTATAACAACACTAACCAAATAAATAGGTCTTTAAAAATGTTTTATTTTTTATTTTCATGGATTCAGGGGTACATGTGCAAGTTTGTTACTTGAATGAATGTATTGCAGAGTGGTGGAATTTGGGCTTTTTTTTTTTTTCTTTAAGCTATCTTCAGTGCAATCATTTTTGACAGAAATAAACATGTAGTTTCTCATAAAATTATTAAATGTATAATCAATAAGAAAAATCTATCCATCTGGCAGTTTTGCAGCTTTGATATTAAATATCTTAAATTTAAAGTGTAAGATTTAATACTAATGGGAACATTGCAGTGGTTTTTGAAATCCTTCCCCTGCATTGGAATGAATGGTATGAAGATAGGAAAGGAAAACTGGAATAAATTGCCCACACTGAGGAGAATGGTAATCTAATGAGACCACCAAGCAGAGGCAGGAACAGTCTTTCCAGCTTCACAATCAAGTTATTAAAAAGCGCAGTACAGACTTACAATCACATTTCCAACCATCATCACTTGGAAATGCAAGCACTTGAAAGTCACCTTGTATTCTACCTCTTATCTTTATATTCTGATTTTGGAAAAGTCCCTGGGTTTGGTGACAAGAATATTAAAGGATCTTGGGACATAGATTGTTGGCCTTATCAAAATGGTGATAGATGAACTGTATAACCTTTTGGTACTCACGTTTTTCTCAAAAATAATACATGAGCTATCTGGTCCACAGGGTTATTTTGGGTTTTAAATATGCATGCATGAGTATATATATATAAAATAAATATATCATATATATACACGTGTGTGTGTATATATATATACATACATATATATAAAGAACCTAGAGATCAGAAGATTTTATTAAAGTCCTTGGGACCTGAATTGAGTTGTCCCAAACCCTAATTGTGTTTGGCCTGGAGGAATCTTAATCCTCCCCAAGGCATCTGAAAGTTTCTGGAGATTACTCATTTTTACTTGCCTTTATTGCTGGGCTTTCTGTGTACTAATTGGCTAGTCTGGAAAGAATTGCATTAACTGAGACATGGAACTCAAGACCCCCTCAAATTTCCAGTCCCAAACCTACATATCAAACCCATAAAGATACTCAGGAGTACTTTTGCTCTGGAGTTAGTAGGAGGCACTCTTTAGGGAAAGCAGGTGAATTAGTTATAAAAAATAAAAAGACTTTTCTAGTTACATTGGTTTTAATGATCTTCAATAAATTGACCACACAACAATGGAACTATGGAAATTTCCTTAAAGTGGTCCCAAAATAAATACTTATAATACACAGACCACACTCAAATAGTGTGGTATAAATATTAAATGGCATAGTTTAGTGAAATTCTAGAAGGAAAAAACATGGAAGACTAGAGATAGAATTATTCCATCTCTGTGATGGTTTGTTCATATAGCAGAGGCTAACTAGAACAAACCTGTGATGTAGCCATCCTTAAATATTCACCAGATGTTTTAAAGCAAAGGTAGGTTCAGAGCACCTGGCACAGGCTATGGACTTAACATATATGTTGCTTTTAGCCAACAGATGCCCCTCTCCTACCAGAAATTTGACTTATTAGATTCTTCTTTACTCATAAACAAAATAAAGCAAAATGCATCTGATAGATTTTATTTTGAAAATTGAACTGTCTTTAGGAGTTCTTGGAATCTTTGCTAAGGGTGTATTTTGATGATTTTGGTCATAATTTTTGGATAATGGTGCTATGGAGGATGCAAAACAAAAACTATGACTGTCTTTTAACCTGCTTCAGACCAGATCATTAGTAGTTTGAACCCATTAGTAGAAAAAGAGACTATACTTTCACAACCAGGAAAAAATTCTAGGCTGAGCGTGGTGGCTCATGGCTGTAATCCCAGTACTTTGGAAGGTCAAGGAGGGCGAATCACTAGGTCAGGAGTTCAAGACCAGCCTGACCAACATGGTGAAACCCCATCTCTACTAAAAAAACAAAAATTAGCCAGGCATGGTGGCACGTGCCTGTAATCCCAGCTACTCAGGAGGCTGAGGGATGAGAATCACTTGAACCCAGGAGGTGGAGGTTGCAATGAGCCAGGATTGTGCCATTGCACTCCTGCCTGGGCAACACAGCAAGACTCCATCTCAAAAAAAAAAAAAAAAAATTCTACCCGTTCACCAGAGCCTAATACATGAACAATAAAACACAGACCTTAAGGTGCAAAATTTTAGTTAGACAGGAGGAATAAGTTCAGGAAACCTATTGTACAATATGGTGACTATAATTAATCATGTTGTATCCTTTTTTTAACTTTTATTTTAAGTTCAAGGGTACATGTGCAAGTTTGTTATATAGGCAAACTCGTGTCATGGGGGTTCATTGTACAGATTATTTTATCACATAGGTATAAAGCCTAATACCCATTAGTTATGTTTCCTGATCCTCTCCCTCCTCTCACCCTCCACCCTCCAACAGGTCCCAGTGTGTGTTGTTCCCTTCTATGTGTCATGTGTTCTCTTTAACTCCCACTTGTAAGTGAGAACATGTGACATTTGGATTTCTGTTCCTGCATTCGTTTGCTAAGGATAATGGCCTCCAGCTCCCTCCAGCAGCTCCACCCATGTTCCTGCAAAGGACATAATCTTGTTTTGTTTGTTTGTTTTTTGTTTTTGTTTTTGTTTTTGTTTTGGCTGCATGTTTTCCTTGGTGTATATATACCACATTTCTTTGTCCTGTCTATCATTAATGGGCATTTAGGTTGATTTCATTTTTTTGCTATTGTGAATAGTGCTGCAATTAACATGCGCATGCATGTGTCTTTATGATAGAATGATTTATATTCCTTTGGGTATATACCCAGTAATGAGATTACTGGGTCCAATGGTAGTTCTGTTTTTAGGTCTTTGAGGAATTGCCACACTGTCTTCCACAATGGTTCAACTGATTTACACTCCCACCAACGTTGTATAAGTGTTCCTTTTTCTCCACAACCTCACCAGCATCTGTTATTTAAAAATTTTGTAATCATAGCCATTCTGACTGGTGTGACATAATATCTCTTTGTGGTTTTGTCTTGCATTTCTCTAACAATCAATGATATTGAGCTTTTTTATATGCTCGTTGGCTGCATGTATGTTTTCTTTTGAAAAGTATCTATTCATGTCCTTTGTGAAAATTGCTAAATGAGTAGATTTTAAGCACTCTTGACTCATGGAAAAATGGTAATTTTGTGAGGTAATGCATCTGTTAAGTAGCTAGATTTAGTTATTCCACAATAGACACATATTTCAAAAATGATTTAAAATATATACAATTTTAATTTGTCAATTAAAATTTCAATTTATCAATTAAAATAATAAATAAATAAGCAATTGAAAAACAAAGACCTCAATTACCCAATGGCGTTAGGAACAATATATTAACAAAGATGACTTTAAGTGGCTAGATCAATAGGTATATAAGGTCCTGACCGAAAGACCAACTCATGGACTAGGTTTACGGTTTATGTGACTGAAGGAGGAACACTCTTCAAGTGTTTAGCCTCACAGGCAAACTGACATGAATTCTGAGACTCAGGATGTTATTAGCAAAGTGTGTGGCAGCTCCAAGCAAATTACTCATCTTACTATTATGCAACCCTGGAAGGGTGAGGAAGTGGGGATGGTGATGTCACCTGCATTAGCTGAGAGCTACTGCTGATGGCTGGAGCCAGAGCAGCAATCTTGGACTCTAAGATAATCTCCGGAATGGAGTTAATACAGAGCTTGCACATTACAGCTACACACCAGGTAAAAGCCAGTATTGATGATATAGTTGGGCAAATTGTGAATACCTTTAAGAGTTAAAATTTGCATAATGCCTCTCTTTCATGCTAAGCACTTTGCTCTGTTGAATGCTTTTCTAAACAGTGTGGGAGGAGACAAGGAAAATGAGGGTGGGTGTAATAGAGTCAGAAAAGTCAGAGTTTAAGACCCAAATTGGTCCTTGTTAGCAATCTAGGTGTGACTTAGAGCAAGATTTTAAACTTATGGTGCCTCCACACAGTCTTTTGTGAACCCTTTTAGTATTGTGAGAATTAAATAGGATAAAACATACAGAGTGCCTTGTATAGAGTAAATCTTCAGTAAAATTATCATATTATTATAAGCATAATCATATTACTGACTAGAAGACCAAGTATTTCAGCTCCACTTAGTATTATCACCCTCTCATTAGAAGCTTCATTTTGGACTGGGTTGCCATTGTGTTAGTCACTTTTATTTAAGTATATTTTTTGAATTGGCTAGATCCAGACAGGCCATGGAAGGTGAATCAGTTTCAATGCAGTCCAGAGGTTTTGGTTAGGTCACGCATTAAAGCACCCAGTTATTTGGGGCTTCTTTGCCACGTCCTGGAATTTTACCTGAAAACCAGGATGATATATGGCCACAGAATGATCTAACTGCTGGCCATTGAAACGAGCAAAGAAACGCCATGAGCAGCTTCCAAAACCCATTCTATGAGAAAGGAGGAAGGCACCCTTAGTTTATTTCTCCATTTTTTTCTCTTTCTTCCTTTTCGCTGGCTGGAATGCAGTTCTGTATGGTTTTTGCTCAGGAAACACTTGCCTTGCCTGTTACTAAGTTTGCCAGAATCCTTTTCTTTGTGTGTTTCTAGACTGCAGTTGGCCAAAGAGAACTTTGTGGTGGTTTGGAGAAGCAATGTGAGGACACAGCTTCAATGCCTGAAGGTCATGGCTGTCATTTGCAGAGAGAGACAGGTGCAGAGGTGGGTTCTGGTTTACCACTGCCTCTCCCAACCTCATGTCCAGCTCTCCCTATTAACTCCTAGCCCTGTTGACCAAGAGCAACCCCAGGCTGATCACTGGATTCTTGGCTGCAAACTCACAGAGGCACTATCTGTGAAGAGGCAAGAGCTTCCATAAACTTCTCCACCAGCCCTGCTAGGGGCCCACTCTGGTTGTTAGGCATGCTTGGCTTCTAATTTCTCCTGGAACCTCTGACTTGTCCATTGGTGTCAGTGCTCCAGGAGGTCTGGCTGATGACTTTCCCCTGATTCTCCAACTCCCGTTTTTGGACCCTTACTCTCTAGCACCTTCCACAATTGTGTAAAGTTGAATTCCTATAATAAATTTCTTATTCCACAGCACTCAGAGTGGTTATGCTTTCCTGATTCTGCACTTGTATTATGTTTGATTATTGCCAGACATCATTCTGAGACCATATCAGCCTAATCTTCTCCAGAATCACTTGAACTGAAATGGATTTTGATGTTAACCTCTCAGTTGTTATCTGAGATCCTTATTAAAGCATCCAAGAAAAAATGTGGCCTTCATTTTTTAAATGAAACTGATGTCAGAAGACCTATCTATCATGGCACTCAATGTTACTGTTAGAAGGTTTACATGAGAAATGCCTTGTTATTTGTTGTCAGTTTAGACTTTATTTCTTTTGAAGCATTGGTGTGCTTCTTCCTTTTTGGGAAACCCTTTTATTTCCATTTTTGCCCTCACTTCCAGGAGGCTCAGAGTCGTAAGTATTGCCTAATTATAGGAACTAGCTTACCTCTCAAAGTATTTGGTTATTCCTCTCTTTCGTGCATTTAATTAATTCTATTTTACTTATCTGAATTGCCCTTGTCTTCTTTTTTTAAAATTAGGGAAAAGTGCAAATGCAGTCTCCCATGACAACAAATGATGCAGTCGAGTTTCCCATATTTGGGGAAATTGCGGAAGTTTGTACACCCAGGGTGCAATGGATAAGCCTCACCCTGGGAAAACCATCTTTGTGATGATGGTATTTGCCCTGACAGGTAAGTAGCATGCTTGTCTTTTATTGCAACTTGTGCCAAATTAGAAATGGTTGGGTCACAATAACGGACTAGAGCCATCTGAGTTAGACATGCTACCTACATTTTCTATTTCTTTTAAATTTTATTTTACATATGAGCAAACTGAGGTTCATTGATATTATGGGATGCTAAGTGGTCAGTGACAAGACCTGCAGGTGGATGCATTTGACCTTTGACTCGTGCTTTCTTTACGTGTCAGACTGTCTCCCTGGTTGAAAGAGTCAGGTATAAACACATAGACAGTGAAATAAGCATCTCTGTCCCTCTTAACCTGATTTGAGAATGTAGACCTCAACATCGGTCCCTTTCTTGTCTATCAAAGAAGTTTGTGACTGTAAGTGAGACATGAAGCAAATGTGTTATGAAATGGAAGTTGGTAGTAAAGATAATGAAAACGAGATGGTGATGGAGATGATGGTAATGCATCATTCTTGTGCAAAGGAAGATTGTGATGATTTTCAGTCACTGTCCTCTATGCTCTCATTGTGCATTATATTTTCAAGCGATCCAGCACATAAGAACTTATAATGTAAGTTGAAGGTTTTATTACCGCATGAAATATATTCCCTAACTCCAATAATCACGTAAAATAGCTAAAATGATCTACTGAGTGCTCACTATATATCAGGCACTGCTTTAGTTCCTTACACATGTTAACTCCTTTAATACTCTAGGCCAGGCGTGGTGGCTCACACCTGTAATCCCAGAACTTTGGGAGGCCGAGGCCAGCGGATCACGAGGTCAGGAGATCAAGACCATCCTGGCTAACACAGTGAAACCCCGTCTCCACTAAAAATACAAAAAATTAGCCGGGCGTGGTGGTGGGCACCTGTAGTCCCAGCTACTCGGGAGGCTGAGGCAGGAGAATGGCTTGAACCCAGGAGGCGGAGCTTACAGTGAGTCGAGATCAGGCCACTGCACTCCAGCTTGGGTGACAGGGTGAGACTCTGTCTCAAAAACAAAAACAAAACAAAACAAACAAAATACTTGAAATGAGGCTTTGAAGTAGATACTTTTCTTATCCTCTTTTTACCTATGATAAAACTAAGGCACAAAGAGATTAGGTTGTTTTCCTTACCAAGATCACTGAGTTACTAAGTTGTAAAGCCAGAATTCAAACCCATGGAGTCTGCTACCCCGCAACCCTCCCCTGAGCCTGTGCTGTTAACCATGGTATTGTGCCCTTATTAGTCCTATCTACACAACCAGAAGAAAGAGCATGCACTTCTTAAACACATTCAAATCGGAATTCCATAACTTCCCAGCTATGTGCCCTTGAGAAGGTTACTTAACCTCTTTAAGCATCAGTTTTTCTGAGAGTTCTTTTAAGTCCAAGTGATACAATTCTTTTGAATCAACCATTTAACTTATTTGTTGAGTGGCTATGAGCTTAGAGTTAAACTAGGTGCTGCTAATTAAAACACCTATGGGCAGAGAATTATACCACCATTCAAAGGTTTTGCTCACAGATACGAGCATAAAGATGCTAAGAAAAGACTTGCTTAATTGAATAAAGTTTTCTGCAGCTGGCCCTCAAGCATTCCAGGTTCCTTAGAGAAGAAAAGAAAGGCTGGTATTGGAGAAACCCATCTTTTTTTGCTTTTCACTTTCTCCCTGTGTCCCGTTGTATCCTTTTTTAAATGGAATTTTCTTTATTGTATTTATTTGGCAAAGACAACTCCTTTGAAAATCTGCCATCTACAGTTACCTTTGCAAATCACAAATGTACCACAGGACCCTCCCTGAAACCTAGACACTGAATATTCAGTGGCCTAGTGGGTTACTAATGCACGGCAGGGCAGGAAAGTTGCCTTTTCAGATCACTACTTTGGTACCACTGCGAGAAGAGCATCCAGATGATACTGATGGACTGGAGGAGGTCCCCAAATGTTAGTGTGATCTCAACCTCAGCTGGTGTCCAGATTCTTAGGACAGAATTGAATTCCTTAGAGAAGGAATTCAAGATTAGTCTGAAAATAGTGAAAGTACTGAGATTTATAGCAAAGCAAAAAGTACACACTCAATAAAGGGGAACACGCACTTGAATATCAAGAGAGTGAGTCATGCTGCAAGATTTGGGGCTTGCATCTTTATGGCACTGGTGGGTGTGTGATCCAGTATGTTCACGAGCATATAATGAGGTCCTATGTGAAACCTAGGTCAAATCCAGTGCCATGTTGCGTCCAGTTGGTTTTAGCCAGCTTGGCCCACACCCTGGTTTTTTAGGGTCTTATCAGTCCCTAGCTTCTGCAGCTGTTTCAGTAGTTTCCTTCTGCTAGTCATGTGAAACTGCTGCCTGGGGTTTTCTATTCTCCTGCATCTATCCTCTATTATTCCTGTCTCATTGGCTGTGAGTTGGTTGCTTGTGTTAGCATGGAAGACTGATTCCTGGAAGACAGGAGAAGCTGTGCATTGGCTCTGGGCAAGGGGAAGGCAACAGTTTCAACAGACAGATTGTGACTGTTCTTTTTTCTGTCATCTCTGAGTTTGATAGTAATAAAGCACATTACATGCATCACCCACTCGGATCACAGTCTCAGGTTGCTGAACAATCTTTGGGATTTATAAAGGCAACACACACATCCAATGAAGAGAAACCACAGAACAAATAACACGATTCTTTCTGGTGACAGAATTCTGTCTCAATCTGTGTAATCACCAAAGTTTTTCAGATCAAAGGAGGGAAAATGAAAAAGAAAGGCTTAAACAAATATGCAATCTGAGGCTTCTGCGTTCATGATCAGTGGGCACAAACTGAACAGCAGAAAGTTTGCATTGAGGCAGAGCATCCTTCAGCATGGCTTAAATCAAGGCCGAATGCTTTTCCTTTAAATAAGGAATCATTTTTTCAATATTATAATTTCCATCCTTCTATTTTTCCAGTAGTGGAAACTCCTCTCCACTATGTGGGTGGAATCCTCATAATGGAATCTGAAAATCGAGGAAAGTCAACTTTAGGTCCCTTCTTCCCCTTAAAGCTTCTTCTCTCCCATCCACATCTCCCCTGCCTTTGCATGAGGTTTAGCATGGACCACGTGGTGGTCTGGGCTGGATTGACACTTCCATTGGATGCTGTAGGAGGAAGAAAAAGGATCTAGTAATGCCTTCAGAGGAGATCAAACCCAAAAGCTGGGGTTAATTGGCAGGTGGAAAAGCAAGTGCTTTAATCGAATGTGGGGTAGAATTTAAAGGGAGGCAGAGGAGAGTGTGGGTTGCCTGGCTTGAGGGATAGGTGAAAGCAAAACCAGTGATTTGTAAATTTTGTAATTGCTTGACAAATGATTGTGGAATTGGATTGAGATCCTAAACTTCACTTTTCTCATTAGAATACAAAAGCAACTAACTAGGGGGCATAAGGGACTTATGGTTTACTTTTCATAGTGACAGAGGGACCTTCTCTCTAGAACCATTTAGGTCTGCTGGACACCTTCCAATTAGAATTGCTCTCTAATCTACAGGAAACTGATAGCATGCAAACCACTCTTATCTTGAGTTTTGGTTAAAGATTGGTAACAGAAGCTGCTTTGGAGATGAACATAGACTAACAACGAAGACCTATTAAGCATCTTTGTTATATTATTTTTCTCATTTAATCCTTACAACTGTATGCATTGGTCATTATTATCTCATTTGTTGGTGAGAAAACAGCCTTGGTAAACTTTAATAGCAGCAGACTATAACTCAAAACAAGGTCTCCAGATCTGCAAACTCTTATATGTTTTGCCTTGAAGCCCCAATTTCTGTAAGGTGTAGTCAGCAATACACACATGGGAAAAGTGAAGGATGAGGCTCATTACATCCTCTGGATAGCTAAACTGACCACAAGTCAGTTTTTCATTAACAAATATTTATTTACGGTTCTGTAGTGTATCCCTTTTCGCATGGGGGAAGCACTCAGAAGGACATCAGCCATGGTCTGTCCATAACCCTGGGAGCTCAGTATTTAGTTGGCAGGACCAAGTTTGGATACATGACAAGGTAATCATTGGCTGACATTTGAAAGTGCTGTAGATTAAGTCAGTGCAGAGAGGACATTGTTTTTGCAATCATGAATCACACCTTTGCAAATCACTAATGTACCACAAGACTCTCCCTGAAACCTAGACACTGAATATTCAGTGGCCTAGTGGGTTATGAATGCATAGTAGGGCAGGGAGGGCTTCCTGAGGGAGGGAAACCTTGATATGAGCCAGGAAGGGAAGAAAGGCCCCAGATGTGAGAAGATTGATGCAGGGAATATCAATGCAGGGGTAATGATAAGATGCCCAAGGAGATGTCTCAGTTAGAACTGAGGAGTCAGTGAATGAAAAAGAGGGTGATCAGGCTGGAAATGGATTTTTGACGAGAATATGAAGGGACTCTAAGTGCCAAGGGGAGAAAGTTGGCCTTTATCCTGTACACTACATTTTCTTGCTCACATATTTTATCAGTAAAATACTTTGACTTGTGCCTACGGTGTATGCATATGATATATACATAGTAACACATTACATATATTATGAAACATAACCCAAAATAATAGTTGAAAGTAACAAATTAAGATGAAATAGTTTTAAATGTCTTGAAAATCAAGGTGACCAGCACATACTTCAGCTAAGGCTCATTGTTATGAAATAAAGGATTTAAATCCATATATCAAATAGTCTTGCATTTGAACCTTTTTTTCTTTTTTAAAAATAATTTTAATGCTATGCTATTGATTTGAAAGTGCAACACTGTTTTTATCCTTTAGGGGCTTACTCCTAACATATTAAGACCCACTAAACTGATTTGTCTCTGTCAACGTGTGAAGCTTGTCAATAACTGTGTCATTGCTCTGGAGGAAAAAAGAAGAATCGTCATTTCTTGTTTTGTTCCTCACTTTACCTCCAGCTGCATTGGGATTAGTTGGAATTTTGATAGAATATTCTTATAGATATACTCGTTTATTACCTTTTGGTTAGAAATAAACATTGTACACT